AGTGTAAGAGAAAGAGGAAAAAAGAGGGCCGAAATGCTGGAAGAATGGCGAAGAGGAGGAAAGTGAAGAAGAAATGTGGACGGGGGGTTAAGTTGGTGGAAAGTACGCCACGGCGTCTGATTACGAATTTATAAAGAAATAGATCTCGGGACGTCGCCCAGTCGAGGGTGGCTACAAAAAAGGGGTGGGTGGCTGCGATGGGGTGAATTGAACCCCCCAGTCCCCCTCCCCTTCCCCGAAGACGCTCGGAAAACTCACTCTCTTTGGTGAAAAGAGGGTGGCATCGTTGCAAGAAAACTCTCTCTTCGAGCTAGTTGGTATGGGTAAAAAATAAGGAGGAATGTAAAAAGAAGTTTGGTGGAAGAACAGGGGGTGGGTGATACTGAGTGAGCTCTAGAGCTCGTTCCCGTTGGCTCCTAGGGCTGATTGAAGCGGGCACAATGTTTAATTCAAAGAAACTGGAGACACGCCCCGCTAACTACAGTGGGATACTTTGCCTTCGATGCTGGAGAAATATACTTGGATCTAGGTAAAAGACTGTATTTTTTCATCCCTTTATGAATATTTTGCATTTTTTTTCACATGAAAATTATTGAGGTAGAATGACGGAAAAGTTGTCGGGCTACTTCACTAGCTAGATCAAATTTCCTTTGATTATTTTACATTTGTAGGCATATATTTGGTTTTTAAAATTGTTTTGTTGGAGAAATTTCCAATTTTTCAAATGGCAGGTTCGCCATTGCCGAAAGGGTTAACGTCCATTTTACTACAGCGAAAGCTAATTATCTCCGTTTACACATCACCCACGCGCATGTCTCGAAAGGGTCACAATCCAGACAACCCTTTTTCGCAAGAGGGAGAATCCACGCAACCCCTTCAGAATACATAAGGCTGCTTGTGATTCTCATTCGCTAATGGAATCGCTGTGGACATTTAGCAATGTAAACTTAATACACAGATTGGTAATGACATGAAACAACAAAAGATAGAGCCATCATGCTTTTTTCACGTCATCAGACGGGTGTACTACTGACAAAAAAAAAAAAAGAAAGAACAAAACAATGTGGGGGTTGAACCGGGTGAGCTTTTAGGTCTCACCCATTACAACCCTCATACCCCTTTCTATCCCACGTATTCTCTGGATACGTGACGTGTGTGTTTTGTCTCGGCCCAAAAACAAGACCGTGAAACGAAGAACGTGGCAAATGAAAGGTCGAAAAAAATACGTAAGAAGATATATGTTGTTTTTTCTTCTGTCCTCATTTTTTCAGCTCTTTTTTTTCGTACACACGAGAGTGACGCAAGGGTAGTGAAAAAATCAGTGGCACGCGACAATGGTCTCCCCAGTGACAGCTGTGGAAGGGTTGACGATTAGCATAAAGAGCCAGATTATATGCCACAAGTAGCGATGTACGTTTGTAAAAAAAATTATGAGAAATGATGGTAAAAAAACATTTGGCTGTTACAAAAAAATACACATGATGAAATGGAATAATAAAAAACATAACACGTCAGATTTGCTTTCTGTTCAAATAATAAAATGAAATCAAGTTTAATTTGTGTCATTACGAGGCTATAAAGATCACTATCACTAATAAATTTTTTGTGCAGTCTATTTTACCATTCTCAATGAATATAAGACAAGTCGGTTGTTTTCCGAAAATGAGAGTTAGCGATGGAAATGGATTCTATATATTGGATTCAAATAACTTGACTGTTCGTTCCGAAAGTGAGTGATAAAAAAAAATGAATTCACAATATAAAATAGTTGTTGATCTATTGAATGATTCTACATCATTTATAGCTTTTATTTTTACGGTCAATCGATTTGTAATGGTCGGGAATAAGTCGACTTGTTCTGTCCAATGGACCGCTGCTCGAGATGAATCAACTTATCTCTCATAGGTCATGTATACAAGCGGAACAAGTAAGTCAATTCAGGGATAGACTCATCGGCGGGGATTCAGGCTATTTTTTACGATAACCTGGCATATAGTCAACTAGAAATCAGCAATCATCAGTTATAAAAAATTCAGACCGACTTATCACCCTTTATCGCTTCACTACTGAATTGACTGATCTGTTTTCACTTGAGTCAAATATTCATTCAATAATTTTCATGGTTAACAATCGAACAATTGCAGGCTTTTTTCAAGTGATTTTCCATTGTTGTGCAGCAACGCATGTAGAAACAGTGTCGATAAATCAAGCGCAACAAAATAAGTGTGGTTTTTTTTTTCGGCCGGTAGTCGTGTGGGCCCAGAGTGAGGTGGGTAACCCGCCGAGGGCAGTAAATCGTCGATGGAGTTATAAAAGTGAGTTCTATTCCCCTTTGCTGCCTTCACTCATCCACAGAGCCCTCGGGCGTGCGACGATGCGTGCACGTATAAACTCTGCTTCTGCGCGCCACAGAGTGCCCACTTGATGTTACCATATTTACTCCATTAGATCTCATATAGTTGTTTAACAATATCACAAGTATTTCGTTGTTTTTTTTTTTTTTTTTTTTTTTTTTTTTTTTTTTAAATTTTTTTTTTTTTTTTTTTTTTTTTTTTTTTTTTTTTTTTTTTTTTTTTTTTTTTTTTTTTTTTTTTTTTTTTTTTTTTTTTTTTTTTTTTTTTTTTTTTTTTTTTTTTTTTTTTTTTTTTTTTTTTTTTTTTTTTTTTTTTTTTTTTTTTTTTTTTTTTTTTTTTTTTTTTTTTTTTTTTTTTTTTTTTTTTTTTTTTTTTTTTTTTTTTTTTTTTTTTTTTTTTTTTTTTTTTTTTTTTTTTTTTTTTTTTTTTTTTTTTTTTTTTTTTTTTTTTTTTTTTTTTTTTTTTTTTTTTTTTTTTTTTTTTTTTTTTTTTTNATTTATGAATTATCATAATAACAATCCCTTTTAATATTTAGTATATTTAGTATAGCAGAGATAATAAAAGTGGTGTTAAAGAGACATGAACTCTCTCTATGCTTAAAGGATAATTCACATTGACATTTGAAATTACTATAGTTTGATTATAACTCTCCTCCACTCTCTCTTTCTCTCGCCTACATGCTGCTCTTGACGAGCAGCCAAAAATTCATACAGAAGTAAAAAAATTCCTTAAAGAGAGAAACATGTAAGAGTGTGAAAAAAATGATGTTAACAATGCATGACGGTTGGTGAAAAAAATTCTCTCTCTAGGTGTATAAAGTCAAGAGTCGAGTGACAAAAAACGCTGCAAACACACTTGGTAAGGTTTTTTTTTTCCTCGATCCGCGACTATTTTTTGAGGTGAAAAGTGAAAAAAATCGACCCCTTAACACCGAGGGAAAAATCCTGTCGAGTGTATCGGTGATCCCTGATTGACGTTTGAATGTTCCACATGCATATGAAGTTGGATTCACCCTCACCAAGTGCCAAGTCCCACCCTCCGGAAGCCCCCAGGGGTATAACTGTTGTAATTTAATGAGGTCTTACCACTGCTGCACTTTTTTTCCTTCGTTTGATATTTTTTGCTACATTTTTTTTTCTTTTTTTTTTCAAATACTGGAGGAGTGAGTGAAAATGCACGTCAGAGACGTCAAGAAACAGGAAGAGAACGAAATGGAATGGAGTACTGAACAAAACCTAACAAGAGGGTGAAACCGTTGAATTTGAATAGAGTTCGAACACCCCATGATAATTTGTGATTTGAAATTTTGGGAGTTTTTTCAAGGGAAATTTGAGAGCAAAACGATTTTTTGGCGTCTCAATGAACGAGTGCAATGGGGTGGAGAAACCTCATCGCAATTTGTTCTCTTCTTTATTTATTTATTTTTTTGTTTACAAAATATAATTAATGCAATATTTTTTCTCCTCACCATGAGTAAAGCGCCTATAGTTAAAGGAAAAACACTATGCGCAGCAAATAGGATGGAGGGGGCGAATTATTAAAACCATAATTTAAGTATGTAAATTGATGAAGAGGTCAAAAGAGGGACTGAAAATGAAAATAAGGGTGAAGAAGGTGAGTAGAGGATTACTCAAGGAGGCGGCGGCTGCTTCACCGTCCCCTTTACTTAGGAAGAATACATTACACCATTCCGAATTCGCGCGTTCTCTCTACTTTTCCTCCACCCACTTTGTCTCCGTCAACCAAACAAGAGCCGAGAAAGGGAATATCGAAATTCCAACGACGCGACCACCGTAAGGCTCTTTTAATTGAATTCTAAATTGAGGAACTAAACTACTCGATGGATATCCACTTTGAGTGATATTTTACGGTTCGTTGGTGATTGGTAATAAATGAAATTGGCAATTCAAACTCTTCTCTTTTAATTTTATCCATTAATGAGGAATATTTTCCAATTCTTTTCATTAGTTAAGGGAACATTGAAGACATAAAAAAAAATTCTCACCTCTCAGCAACAAGAAGAATATTGTTGAATTAACACCATCTCTTTCCTCCCCTGAAGAAAAAGTAACGTAAAAAACCTCCAATCCCCTAGTATCGGCTGTCATTTACTCGGTCTCTCTCATTCAATTGTCCTTTTTATTTCCACATATTTGCAGGGAGCCAAACAATACGAGTGTATCCAAAGCAGATAAATGTCCTATTGTTCAGTGCTATAGTCAAAATTAATTGATATTTATACAAGTGTCCATGAATAAGAGAGAGAGAGAGAGAGAGAGGAGAGTTTAAAAGTTTATTTTTATAATAAATAAACGGCATAAACCGTTGAGAGTATTGGACGCGTCACTCGAGCAGACGCCCAAATGAATAGCTACGTGTATTTCCCCTCAAAAGTGGTGAGTTATGTCAATTTCACATTTATAAAGCCGTCATCGGCGACGCCCCAGTGAAAGGGGTATTATTCTCCGGTAATAGACACAGCCGACACGTAGTCGATCTATATGAAAACACTGAATAAATTAAAAATCTCCTTTTTAATGTATTATTTTTTTTCTGGGTAATTTTCTTGAATAAAAAAAAAGTCATAGAGGACAAAAAAATTAGACATTGAAAGGGGATAGGTAAAAATAATAATAAGAACACGTGTTTCATTTGACTGATATGAGTGTAATAAATAAAGTTGGGCGTAATATGTATAAGTCGTTGCAAATTCATAGAAAAGTCATTTTTTTATCATCATCATCTAAATATAGCGGGGTGATTTATGCATTTTACTAACTGATTAAACAAAGTCAAACTGATGAAACACCATTTTGAATACTAGCCAAATACTCGCTGTACTTTTTCATTTGTGCCTGCTGTAGTTTTTGCAATTTCTTCAACTGTCCCTTGCTAATCTCCTTTCCTTCAGTGTCATGAGTCGGCAAGCCATTATCATCAAACTTTGAATATTTATCCGTATGTGATTTGAACATTTCTGTAGGTGAAATTTTCCTTTGCGTCTCTTTAGCTGCATTGGCAGCAACCACCTCGGCCTGTTTCCTCAACTTTTCCGCTGCTTTCTCCAGCTCGAATCGCTTCTTGGCTTCTCGTTCCTTCAACAATTCATCTCGATTGACTAATTTTATTTGACAAGAGCCACTGTCATCATCCTCCAGCCGCACACCCACATTCGGTAATACTTCATCTCGCAGTCTGTCACACTCTTGGAGAATTTCCGTAGCTTTTATTGTTTTTGCGTGATTACGTATTTTTTCACGAAATTGACCAATAATATCTAAATAAGGCAGCACTGTTTCTTCAATATTATTATTTTTTGTACATTCATTACTGTCAATAGGAAAACCAATGCCTTCATTGGAGTCGGTGATTGCTCCGAAGGTTATAAAAATCTTGGTGATGTAGACAGCGATATCGCGAAGGAGAAGTGTATTAGGAGGGCTGGGTGTTACACTCTTGGTGTAAATGTTGCAGTGGCCAACGAGATCTCGGATTACATCAAGAACTGTTCTCGTATCGATGTTATCGCACAGTGCTATGTGGATAGCATCCTTTGCAGCTGATAACTTTTTATTTAAATCAAGTTCCGCCTCATGCCACTTGCTAAAGGTCTTGAGAGTTGTGCCTGTCCCGAGAGATCTGATTTTGCACTTGACATTGAGAAAAAATTCATTCAAAAACTTTTCGTACTGCACCGCCATATCCATTGTATTATCACTGTAATCGAGAGTATCCTTCCAAGAATGCAACAAAAATGCCAGTCTCAGTTGTCTAGAAGTGTGTTTCTTGAGTGCCTCCTCAATGGTTATAAAATTCTTCAACGACTTGGACATTTTGCAGCCGGATATGGTTAAATGTCCGGAATGGAGAAAATATCTGACCCAGTGGGAATTATCAAAGTAAGCTTCAGCCTGGGCCAATTCATTATCATGATGTGGAAACTTGAGATCAACACCACCAGTATGCATATCCAGACTCTCTCCGCAAATGACCGAGGCCATGACAGAACATTCGATATGCCAGCCTGGTCTACCCTTGCCCCAGGGACTCTCCCACCATGGTTCTCCAGCTTTGGAGCATTTCCACAGAGCAAAATCCGTTGGAGAACGTTTTTCAGATAGTCTTTCATCGGATATACACAAATCACCTTCGCCTTCCTCAAGACTCGAAGCATCACCATACGCTTCAGGCACCAGCTTAGCGTAATGATGATTTTCCCTCTTATCAAATCCTCCAACATCAAAGTATACTGATCCATTACTCTCGTACGCCAATCCACGCTCAAAAATTTTCTCAATATATGCTATTATTTCTGGAACGTATTCACTGACCCTTGTCAACACATTTGGCCTCAAGATGTTCAGAGCATCCATATCTTTGTGATACTCAGTCTCCCAGTGCTGTGATAATTTATTAAATATTGCATTATCTGTGACAGAGTCTCCTGATTTTTTATCCAACCACTCTGAAAGTGGATCTTTTGCTTCAATCAGTAAAATCTGAAATGTTTATTAAATAAATATAATAAATATAATAAAGAAGGAAAAAAATCATTCCACTTAATGTGACATAATAATTGGAAAATATTAAGTTTTCACCTTTTGATGCTCTCTAATCGCTTCATCATTTCCACTTTTCACTGCTTTTTCAAGATTTTCAACAGCTAATTTGACCTTTCCCAACATTTTCTCCAACATGACTCTCTTATCAGTATCAGCTGTAGTTGTCACTGTTTCTTCAAACGCTGACATAACGTTTTTCACGTCTTCCAATACTGCATCCAATGATTTACCCTCTTCTATGTAATTTTCATAGAGATGATTCTGTCTAGCACGTTTGATGATTTTATCATCAATATCAGTGATATTCATCACATAGAGAACATCGTAGCCAAAATAATCCGATAATACTCGTCGTAATATGTCGAAGGATATATAGGATCTAATGGAGAATAAATAAATCTACTTGAATATTCAATTTAAGACAATATATCTCATTATAAAACATTTTGTAAAACACAGACAGTGAAAAAAAAAGAAATGTAATTAAGATACTACAACACATTACGCTACTTGGAAATTTCTCTACTATAGCACCATTTTTCTCTTCAATGAGCATGATGCAATTGTTTATATTATGACGATGAATCGCCAACGGCCAGCTAATCAAATGCAAGTTGCACTGGCAAAAAACAAGCTAATGAAATACTTTGGACATTGAAAGATGGGAAAAATTATAATTTATTTTTTATAGAAAAATAATGCACATGTTTGTTAGTTACCTAGCATGACCCATGTGAGATGCATCATAGACAGTTGGTCCGCAGCTGTACCACAATACTCGATTGCCATGTTGGGGTATGAAATCCTCTTTCTGACGTGTCAAACTGTTGTAAAGTTTCAATGTAGCACCACCCTTTCTCACTGGTGGATTCCAGGTTGGTTGGGCACGTTTTGACATTCTTCTCAAATGAATTTTCAATCTCTCCAGAAATTGGTTCACGTGTCACCTAAATATAATTACATATTTTTGTTCTTTTGTAAGTCACAAAAAAAAATATGTGAAACTTTCTTGAATTATTGGAATCTATTTTTATTTAAAAACAACGACAAAAGTCTACATATTTTTTTAGCAAATAGTATTTTTTCATTTCATTTGACTTACCACATGCGAGACTCTTGCGATAGCTTTTGAAGTGTGTTTTACAAATGAGTGACGTTGAGTCAGGTGTTGAAAAATATGTGCATAGGAACAAGGAACAGATATTCATCGTGAAATTCACGGTTCATAGCTGCCAAAATTAATAAATAAAATACTCTTTCTCAGTAAAAAGGGAAAAAACAAGAAGTAAATACTTTATAGATATTTGAAATTGCAATTAAAGTCATTATTCCTAATTTTTTATACATTTATTGTAGGATATTATTCAATTATTATTGTTATTTGCTGTCGAACTTTGATTTTTAAGATTGCAAAGTTGGTGGCGGTTTGAGGCTAACTTCATATGCTAGTGTAGTGGCGAAGGGAGGGAGTGAACCTTCTGGCTCGGATTTTTCTTTTATCGAAACGTGGAAAGATCTGTCGCGATGCAAGTGCCTGCGGTTTTTATGGATTTACCTCCCGAGGATCAGGTAAATAATTATTTAAACCGTTTAATGAATTGCTCCATTATTTTATGAATGATCGGATGTATATATGTATATAGATCTTGCGTACTATTATTCCAACTCAACAGAAGACTTGTAGATTGAGGTTAGATTTTTTTGTTGGAGGCTTGGAGGCTCTGCTCTTCAATGTGTCGAAAAAAGAAAAAAAAGAAAAATAATGATACTTTATGTGTGTTTTCAACATCTCTAATAATATGTCATTAAATTGATTGATTTCTATAATACAAGTGTATTTTTATTGTGTTATATGTTTCAGGCTCAAGAATTGAGAATTTACTTCAAGAGCTTGGGTGCAGAAATAAGTGATGAAAAGTCGCCCCGTGGAATTGAAGATGATTTACATAAAATAATAGGTGTCTGTGATGCCTGTTTTAAAGAGGGCAACGAGATTGAAATTGAAAATATTCTCAATGACATTGTATCGATCCTAATCCACATTCCAGTGGAGAGAGCTGAAAATTTAATTCTAGCATTTTGCGAAAAATTGAAAAAAGCTCCGGGACAAAAATTAGGCCTAGTCTGTCTCAAAGCTCTTTGGCTTCTCTTTCAGTCTCTTGAGGAAAAATCTCCCATGAGATATCACGTTTATTATAATCTTGTGCAAGTTGCTAGGAATGTCGATCAAGTCAAAGCTGTTTACAGTGGAGTTGAACAGTTGAAAGAACAATTCAAGGCATTTCCACCCAATAATGAGCAAATGCAGAAATTACTGCGTTTGTTGCATGAAATTTTATTGAGTTGTAAGCAAGGGTACGTATCATTGATTATTTATTAAGATAGGCAATCGATTAATAACTTTCTTTTTTTTTTTTTTTTTTTCTCTTGGATATAAAGAGATCAAGCAGCAGCAGTAATGGTAGAACTTCTGGGCACATATACCGCCGAAACAGCATCTGAAGCACGTGAAGATGCAATGCATTGCATTCAAGCAGCTCTAGCTGATCCAAACACTTTCCTCTTGGATCCACTACTTGCACTCAAGCCAGTTAGATTTCTGGAGGGTGAACTTATTCACGATCTACTGCTCATTTTCGTTCAAGAAAAATTGCCATCTTATATCCAGTTTTATAGTAATCATAAGGAATTTGTGGAGCACACTGTGGGCAAGTGTTAGAAAAAAAAATTATCATGTTTCAGATGATTTATTTTTGACATTTTCTTGAATAGGTTTGAATCATGACCAGAATATGAAAAAAATGAGGCTACTTACGTTCATGCAACTGGCTGAAACAAATCCGGAAATGTCCTTTGAAACAATTCAGAGTGAGCTCCAGCTTGAGGAGGATAATGTTGAGAGTTTCATCATCGATGGTAAAATTCTACAGATAATAATAATAATAATTATTATTTACAGATAATATCCCTGTTTACTTTACAGACATTCTCTGTCTATTTTCTCTGGGCAAGAATATCATCATTTACAGGGAAAATTGAGTGAATCTATACTGGCTCAGTAATTTTTTAGTAATTATTGAGTTATCGAGTTATTCAACATTTTTATGAAAAAGTTATTGAAAAATTAATTTCATAATCATTTAAATACAATAATAAATTATTTAATTTTTATTTCTCCAGTCCTGAAAACTAAACTCGTTCGTGCACGTATGGATCAAGCAGGTCGTAAAGTCCTCATTTCCTCAACAATGCACCGAACATTTGGAAAACCTCAGTGGATGCAATTGAGAGATCTTCTCGTAGCTTGGAAGACTAACTTGTCATCAGTTCAGGATGGAATGAAATCGGTGGCATCAGCACAAATGGAGCTGGCTGCCAAAACTAAAGCCCCATTAGCCCACTAACAGTACTCGGAGTTTTTCCCTATTTTTCAAAGTGGACAGAATCAATTGTGACATTCCATCGTTTAATGTCACGGCGAATCGTTGAGACAACAATTATACATCATCATCATTCGGACAGGGATAATTTAATTATTATTATTTAAAACGAAATAAATAAAAAATTTCAAGCATTATCTTTCCAAAATCGGATCGAGTGAAATAAACAAGATGAATGAATAATTAGACATTGATAGGAAATCAATTTTTTGTACAAACCCTCGTGAATTTCAGTGAAAAACAATAAAATATTGGTCATTTGATAACAGAAAATCTATTTGAGAAATGTGTGTAATACTACATTTTGTGCACTATCTTTACGTATGATAAAATGATTTATAATTTTACAATTTTCTCTCTAGAACAATCACTTGAGTCATCTTCTAGTATTCTCTTTAGAGAATAATTATGATTTATTGTCTCATCTTCAGAATTGACCGTTGATTTTTTTCGCTGAATGATAAATTTCTGATAGTCCTCCTCGGATAATAAACTTTTTTTCATCTCTTCGTAAATCTTGATATTAGGCAAAACAATTGCAAGGTAACCACCTTTGTGAGGTGGCTGTTTAATCAATTGTGGATTTTCCACAAGTGTTTCATTAACTTCAATTAATTTACCCATTATACAGCATTTGATATTCCATTTTTCACCATTATCACAAGATATTATACATATGTTTGAACTCTCTTGCAAAGGCTGGGCTCCATGTTTCCCCTTTCCTGAGACTTTGTTGGCAGCTCTGTCCAATTTATCTGTCACTTTGAAGCTTATACTCTCTATTTTTCTATCTTTCTGAAGCACTGGATGACTCGGTGCTAGAGTTAGCATGCAGATGCGATTACTGTGAATCCTAATGCAAATATCATCAAGACATTTCTGAACATCTACTTTGTAATATGGAGTGAAATAACGCTCTGTCACACTGGCAAGTTGTACGTTCAACGGAACTTGATCAAGCATATCAGAAATGTCATTGTCCTCTGGAAATTCAAAGGAATCATCCTCGGGAATAGCATCGCCATCGCCATTGTTGGTGTTGTTTACACGTTCTACTAATATTTCTGCCATTATTAATTTATTATTTACACTTCCTTTGAGGCTTTTTCACCTTTCAACTGTTCTTTAAGCTTTTCCTGCCGTAGTCGGGATTTCTCGCTGTTTGCGGCCGCAAGATTGATTTTCTGCAACATGAAAATTCATAAATAAATAGTAATTAATTGATTGTGTTCAATTGACTACTGTTTCTACTTCATTTGTTTTATACGGAAAAAAAAATTTTTTTAATTTATGACCGTTAACTTACGTTCTGTCGAAGGCACTTGGTCAATGCCACGTGTGCGTCAGTACACTTTCCTAAAATTCTGCTCAACGGGTGCTGCAAAAAATTCATCTTATTACTAGTCTTGAGGTTTTGTTTTTTTTTATGTCATAGGGCCCAGAATCACGCGATTCTAACCTCGCTTCGCTCGGTAGAATCGCGGATTCCTATGACATAAAATAGTATACGAAATTCGTACGTAATGGTGTTTTTTGACTCGCCTTCGGCTCGTTTTACAAATTCCCACGAGCCAGAAAAATCCATTACGCACTTGTTGCGTAATATACTATTTTTTCTGTATTTCGCGTACCGATATCTCACACTCCTGGACTTGATAATATAACTCGTTGCAAGCTGATTGATGACGAGCTAGACGTGTGTAATTATCAGACATTATTTATCCAAATACTTTAAATAATAAACAATGGTTTCATTTATGTAATCAGTTTATATTTATTTCCATTGCAGTGAGTGGAAGAACTCACTGAATTGGAATTGATTCCCAATTCAGGCGAATTTGAGGTTATGGATAACATTAACATGTATATACGGTATATGGCCAGTATGGCCGTGCCGTGATCCAATGAAAATTCAGTATCGAAATTCCGTGACATTGGCAGCATTTTTTTTTCTTTTTTATGGTAGCTTCAAAATTGTATATTTCTCGAAAGTTAACCCCAAGTTTCAGTTTGATATCGTCCACTTTTCTCAAGGTTTCTCACAAAATTTTCAGCATCACAATCGTTAAAATTACCAAATTTCTTTGCTATATCCACAAATTCGTCTCTGACACATTTTGGCATATTTTTGGAGCTTCCAGACAGGTAGATTTTGCCACCATTTAATAATAAATTCCAACATAATGCACCTTGTTTTCTGATCAAGTGTTGAACATATCTGAAAAGAGTCAATATAGTTGCAAAACTTTTCAATAAAACAATAATAGTAAAATGATAGAAATGCAAAATATTTACATTTTGTCCGCTTGATCCCTTGAGAAGGCACAAAAAATTGTTAAATTATTATTCTTTACCAATCTCTCATAGTCTTCTCTACAATGGAAATCCTTTTTCTCATTTCTGCATCCAAAAAACAAGACAACGTTATGTAAATCGACTCCCGTGGCTTCTTGTTCTAACAAAAGCGATCTAAATGGAGCAATCCCAGTGCCAGGACCAACAAGAATCATTGGTTTTTCCCAATCAAAATGAAATGTACCCTTCTGTAACCAGTAAATCACTTGCTGGCCTTTTTCTAATGACGCAAGCCAATTGGAGCAGAGTCCCAATCTCGGTTCCACCAATTTAGTTTTATACTTGACAACAGCCACCAACAAATGAATCTTATCAGGAGTGGATTTACAACTAGATGCTATGCTAAATGCCCTGGGCTTGATTGGTGCCATCACCTCAAACAGAATTTTTTCGTTCAATTTCCTGGTGGTGTAAGGAAAATCCCTCAAGACCTCTATAATATTTCTTCTCGGTCTGTTTACATAATTATAAAGTTCATCTTGGCCAATAGCTGTGGAAAACTCGGTGAGTTTTTCCTTTTCAAGCTCATTATCACTCAACAAAGCTAGGACCTGCATTGTGGACCGTCTCGGCTTGTAATTAAGGTCCCAATACTGCTCAACAACTTGTTGAAAGGTCAAGGGATATTTCAAGCAATCTGGAAGCTTTATTTCCTTATTATCGGAAATACTCAAAAGTGTCTCTGGTGTTAGCGGAATATCGTGTTCCCTCAGAAGATGAAAAAATTTCGATACTTGCTCCGGAGAATTTTTTGGTCTTAGGTAAATAATGTCTCCAGGTTGATAGTTAACGTTTGTAATATTTAATTCAATTAGTCTAACGTCTTGAAAATGATCTAGAGTTGTTGTTCTCGTGTTTTTCATGATGGTTGCTAGTTTTAAATGATTATTCACTTCAAGTTGATGTTTGTAAATGTCTGTAGGTATATTTTTTATCAATTCTACTATTGAACGTTGGCTTGGCTGGTTGATGATGGAGATGTTGAAGCGTTCAACAACTTGATTGACAGGAGAAGCTTCTAGAGGGATGCTCAGAGCATCTGATATTACGGGCCAAAGGTTTTTTATCCAGGGCTCTATTATTGCATCAATTCCCAAGTCATGTTGATCGTCTGCTAGAGCAATTGGAATAATCTCCTGTGCTCCTAGTTGGGCTAGACGTTTATTGAGTTTCTTGGCGGCAAAGTTGTACTTTTCGTAAGAACTATCGCCCAATCCCAAGACTGCATATTTTAGATTTTTAAGAAGAGTTTGGGGATGAGATTTACGCAGTAAAAATCTCCAGAATTTCGTCATATTCGATGGTGCATCACCTTGACCGGTTGTTGAAGCGACAAAAATTATCAAGCGCTCTGAACCAAGATGCTCCATGTTGTAATCATCCATTGCTGTCACTGAACACATTAGTCCATTTCTGCAATTGAAAGTCAATCTTGAAATATTTAGCTAGACTATAAAATGAAAAGTGTTGTCATCATAGTGTAAAACAACAACCTTTTGGCATTAATCCAAATTTCTTCAGCAGTATCTTGTGCAGTTCCGGTCTCACTTCCATACAGTACAGTGATGTTAAACTCTTCTCTCGTCATTTTTCACTTTTCTCTCTCGCAAGTTTTGTTTTTTTTTTTTTTTCAATTTTCGTTTTCACTTGTAATTCAATTAGCTAGTGATTACAAAAGTGATGTTGTCTGATAGGTGTTGATCCAGCACAGATGATGCAATTTCCTTATTAGTAAAGTACAATAGACATTCGAAATATTAATCATATTTTCAGTTTCCAAGATTCTGTTAGTTCGATAATGATAGCAAATGACAACAATCACGCAAAGAACAAACGATCAAATGTCAAGGCTAAGTCCCGTTTGGCTATGTCTTCTCGGCGGTTATAAATAAAAAATAAAAAATATATACGTTGTATTTTCGACTGCAATCAACCGACCGATCCCCCCTGATGTCTGCTGTCATATAAATGACATCGAGTTCAATCATCGAGTAGTGCAAAAAATGATGAAAAATTTCATATTCAAAAATCAAATTTCTATGAAAAATTGACAAGAAAAAAAACAAAATGAATAACAAAACGAATGAAGGAAAAAAAAAAGTAGCAAAAGCAGTATTATAATCGTGCAGTCTAATCTCAAATAAAGATTTAAACGGCCGCAATCTATTTGTTTTCAAGGTTAGTTGAATAATTTACCAGTTATATAATTATGTCAAGCCCATTGTCATTGTTGAAAGTAAAACGCAAATGAGTGCGTGTGTGTGTTGATATTTTTGATTCTTCACGTGGGTAGTAAGAATTTTGTTTTTCATTGAGAAGAAAAAAAAATGCCAATTTTCGCACGTTAAAAGGAAAATATAAGAATGTTGGTAGGACTGAATATCGTGGTTGCTGCTGCTGCTGCTGCTGCTGGTGTTTGCTGGTGACTGTCAAAACCTACTTTCCTATATATTCTCACGAGAAGCGCTCCTACGTTTTAGCCTCTCTTCGGAAAGGAAAAAGAAAAAAATGAATAAATAAAAAGGAGATAAAATCTTGTTCTTTTAATTTGATAATTTATATCCCTCAAATATGAGAGGCAATGAAAATTTAAACAAAGTGCGCGTTAACAATGGCTATTTATATATGGTGAGATTTTGAGAGAGTAGGTGAGAGTGATTATTTTTTCATTAAAAAAGGCAACAGAGTGAGATAAAATCAAGTGAATAAGTGAAGGATAGAAGAGTAGCGAGAGAGAACGAGCAAAAAAATTGTATTAATGTTTTTGTTGTGATTAACGTTGTATCTATCGAGTTGCTCACATCAGGTGGAATTTTTGTGTAAAGACTGATGTACGACAGACGAAAATATTGTTGCAATAAACCAATGGTTTCAATGTGACTCCCAAAGGCATTAGAAATAAGAGACAAGGTGAATATAAATTGATTGTTTTGAAATGTTATATTATTGTCGGATTTAGGTAGAGAGAGAGAGGGAGAGAGAGAGAGAGAGAGAGAGAGAGAGAGAGAGAGAGGGGGAGAGAGAGAGAGAGAGAGAGAGAGAGAGAGGTGATGGTGCGTATTTAGAATTTTGGAGATTACAATTGGGCAGAACACAGGTTATTGCCAGATTATCCATATGAAATGATATCCTTGTAAATTTCTCAATTGTCATTGTTTTGTTGGTTTTATTCAAGTGATACTTGTTTTTTTTTTGTTTCAGCTTCCTGGTGATAGAGAATTGCTTAGAATGTGAAAGTATCCCAGTCTTTATTATCGTAATAATTGGATTAGGTGAATAAGAGTTCAAGTTTTAACAAAAAAGTCACAGGGTGAGTTTTTTTTATTAAAAACTTTGGTTTTTTTTTTTTGACATTTGTAGGTGGGGGGTGAATGATTACTTGAAAAAAAAAGGAATGGAATTAGTCGAGTATGTGAAAATCAGACGAGTCAAAAGGAATTGCATGTTCTTAAGGGTCACAATAAGGAAAAATGATAGAATACGTCTGATTGAAATATTTTTCATGTTTCAAATTGGCAATTTTATATTGTTATTTAAATCCATTGTCCATTGTTGTCCATTTAGTAGTAGTGAAGATAAGTTGAAGTGTTTCATTAATTTTTGTGTTGTAATATTACAGATCAAGCTCGAGTAGTAATAATAATAATAACAACAACAATAATACTACTAGTTAAAATGAGTGGTAATTTGGAGGAATGTCAATCGAAATGGAACTGCGAGTATTGCACCTACGAGAATTGGCCATCATCTTTGAAATGCACAATGTGCAGAGGTGCAAAACCCCTGCTGGGTGAAGACATATACAGGCTACGTGATCCAAGCCCCCAAAGATCAAATGTTGCATCAGGACCAGTTACATGTTACAGTCAATCATCGACAGATGCATATAATTACAGTCAAAATTTACCATCAGGTGGTAAATGGTCGTGCGAAGTATGCACATATTTAAATTACCAAAATGCATCAAATTGTATCCAGTGTAGTACATCTAAGCCAGCTCCTCCTCATCATCTCCAGCACATTCAATCGATTATAAATTCAGCATCGAATTTACATGAACATTTAGCACCACTTAGATTGGGTGATCCACCGCCAAATACAATAGCATTAGGAAATAATTTAGCACCTGCTTCACAAATGGAAAAATGGTCATGCCATATATGTACTTATGAAAATTGGCCAAAGGCAACAAAATGTATAATGTGTGCTCATCAAAAGGAAAATAATAATCAGCAGCAGCAGCAGCAGCTACAGCAGCTACAGCAACAACGTGAAAATACAACAACAACAACAACAACAACAACAAATTCGGCAATTATTTTACCAAGTCCTGAGAGAGATGTCAATCAAAGAGGTTTACCTTCACCACCGCAGTCATATGAAAATTTAGCTGGAGCAAGACGAAGTGCCCAAAGACATGATGGAAGAAATGACAATTTATTACCCCCCATTGTACCCCAAGGGCCCAATGACGTTGATTATGAGGCTAGACTTAAACAATTTAGTCGTCGCAAAGATTGGCGTTGGTTAAACGCATGTCTAGGCATTGTCGAAGGCCAAAATGTACCGGTAGAGGCTTATTTAGCAAGTGGAGGTGATCCAGCACGTCAATTGACCCATTCCGAGGTTTTACTACTCAACAGAAGCAGTGCCTTCGATGTAGGACATACTCTCGTTCACTTGGCCATTAGATTTCAACGGGAGGATATATTAGCAACACTATTATCACAAATTGAAGGCTCTGGATCGGGGATAAAGAGAGTACCAAGTTATGTAGCCCCAGATTTGGCAGCTCAAATTCGTAGACATCTGACAAATAGTATTAGATTGCGCAAGGGATCACTTCCATGTTACTTTATTACTGACGTTGCAACCTTTGCCCTGCCAGCTGAAGTCGAAGACCTACCTAGTAATGTTCAAGAGCAAATGCTCGAGGAATTGTTGGATCGTGAAGCACAACAGCAATTGGAGGGTGGTGGAGGTGAACCGCCAGCATTGAATTGGTCACTGGAGATAACGGAGAGGCTTGGTAGTCGTTTACATGCACTTTGGAATAGATCTGCTGGTGATTGCCTTCTTGATTCAGCTATGCAAGCAACATGGGGTGTTTTTGACAGGGATAATGCACTCAGACGCGCACTCGCTGATTCTCTACAACAAGCAGGACATTTATTTTATCCACGTTGGCGAGAATATGAGGCATCCCAAGCATCTAGAATGTTAGATTTTACACTTGAAGAGACCCAATGGCAGGATGATTGGGAAAGTTTATTGGCAACAGCAGCTCAGCCAGGCAGTGCGCTAGAACAATTGCATATATTCACACTTGCTCACATTATGAGAAGGCCTATCATTGTATATGGTGTTAAATATGTCAAGAGCTTCCGTGGTGAAGACATTGGCTATGCCAGATTTGAGGGTGTCTATTTGCCACTCCTCTGGGAGCCATCATTCTGTATTCGTTCCCCAATAGCACTTGGTTATACGCGAGGTCATTTCACAGCCCTTGTACCTATTGAACCATACGCTTCATCCAGATTATCACACAGCGGTGTTGGAGTTGGTGGTGGTAACAGTCCAATGCAACAACTCCAAATACAAATGCAAACAACATTTATGCCACTTATGGATAGAGAACGTAAATTATTACCAATACATTTTTTGACCTCCGAGGAAATTGGTAGAGAAGAGACAATATTGAAACAATGGCTCGATGTTTGTACTACTGAGGGTGGTATACTCGTTGCACAGCAGAAATTACATAAAAGGCCATTGCTCGTTGCCCAAATGCTCGAAGAATGGCTCAATCACTATCGAAGATTAGCGTAAGTTATATATATATAACTGTATATATATATATAGTTGTATATTATTTAGTTTACTCAAACTCGTTATTTTTCTTTCAAAAAAAAAAAAAAAAAAAAAAAAAAAA